AGCATTCCCATACAAGCAACTTTTGGCTTTCAGAGTACAGTATGTTTCCTTTGCAGTGAATTAGTGCAATTTAGTACTGAGCCACAACAACAACAAAAACAACCTTTTTTATAGGCTCTTAGTCACATAGTCAATAAGGGCATGACTAGACTACATCCCTCTTTCGAAAGAGGGATGTAAATTAGACAGATTGAAATTGCAAATGAAGCCGGGATTTGAATTTCCCACACTTCATTCGCATAATGGTGCCCGCCTGTTCTTTCTAAAATGGGTATTTTGAAACTGAAATCGCTGTCTAGACAGTTTTCAAAAAAGTTTCGAAAGGTCCTGTAAACCTCTTTTTTTTTAGTTCAGGATCTTTCAAAAAAGGGAGACACTTCTGGCACCACAGATTGTGCTCTGACCCAGAAGCGATCAGCAACAGGATGGGCTCCTAGGTGGAGAAGACTCTGCACGCTATTCCCAGCACTAACTCCACACTCCCACAGGCTAGGAACCTGCTGCTTCTGGGGTGCAGTATGGCCTGCAGCGCCATGTGAGGCAGATAAGCCCCTCCTGTCTCAGCCTTGACCAATGTTCCCTCTAAGCTGCATGGCAGCATAGCTTCATGGGTGACTAATCAGCCCCACCCACTCAATCAGCTACACAAAGGGAGCCCTGAGCCTCTGACTGGGTGGGGCTGCTGCCATGCAGCTTAGAGGGAACACTGCCTTTGACCCTCCAACCTCCAAAGCCAGCCCTTGTATTCCCCCAAGTTCTCATTCTCAGTCCCATCCTGGAGCCCACACTAGTCCAATTTTGATGCCTGTAACCCAACATACATTTCTTCAACTGGGTCATGAGGAAAAGAAAAAAGTTTGCAAACCACTGTCCTAGACCACAGGAGCTATTACTGAGATTTTGCTTTAAACACATGTACACACATGTTTGTTTTATTTCTCCTGAGGGGCCATGTTTTTCTTGAGTCTGCAGCTGCTCTGTTCTGATGAATCCCAAGGGATGTGCAAGTTACATTTTGGTCTGAATTTGGCCAAAACAATATGAGCCCATGTGTGGCTTTAGCAAGAGTTTACATTTTTGGAAAGCAATTTGCAGGATGTTCTCTACTCTACACCTGTCACTAGAAGATGTGCTTTAAAAAAAAAAAAAAAAAGTATTATTCGTGACTGACATCATGGAGATGCCCTGTGTTATACAGCTGTTGCTCTACTGTTACGGTCACATTTATGTATAAAGTATATGTTGCAGAAAAAGTGTGGGCACTGCTCTGGAGCCAGGGTCAGCATATTACAAGAGATTACAATTCAGCTCCAAATTATTTTATTCAAAGGAAGACAAGTGGCAAAATAAGAGCTTAGACACAGTCAGGAACTTGTCCTAGCCAGTTTACCAGAAGCTGGAAATGGATCACTTAATTACTTATTCTGTTCATGCCCTCTACTGGCATTGGCCACTATCAAGACAGGATACTGACTTGGCTCCAACTCAGACAGGCTCTCCACCTGCTGCAGCCTGAGACCGCTCAATATGACTGGTGGCTCCCTTCAAGCCAGTGATTCTCAAACTGTGGTCCATTGCCACTTTGTTAAGCAGGCCATGACTCAAGCACAGTCCCCCTACCCCCACAGCAGGGAGTCCATCCTGGAGCTCCAAATGC